TTTGCTGTTGATGTGGATTCTCAGCTAAATGCCTTACAAATGGAGCTTGAAGTGCAAAGCCTAATTAAAAACAACATTCATAGAAAATAGCTAACATCATACAAAGCGTCTACCATCTTTCCCAAATCATCAAAATAATGGGTAAGACCATGTGTTGGTATTGAGTTATTACTGCAATGCTAAATATGTAGCTGCTCAGTCTCTGAAGCAAACATAAACAAGGTGGCCAAGCAGAACCATAACCACAGGAATCAGAAATTGATCTGGGAGGAGGCAGATTCCCTGACAACATTTTCATAATTAGATCCTGCTGGATAATTTAAAGAAACGCAGCCATGCCACAGTAATACAATCCTGCGACTAAATAAATAAGCACATTTACCAATAAAAGTATAACACTAAAGGAAATCAAGGAAAAGAGAGCTAGTGTTTTTAAAACTTGAAACAAAACGGTTAAGTCCACAAAAACAATCCTGAGAAATATGTGTGTCTATAAATCGGAGAGGTGGTTCTGAGAGATTCACACTAAGTTTAGACTTGAGATTTGAGCCGATATGAAGCACTACCAGTCAACCAACATAAAAGACAAGTATTTCAAATATATGACCTCAGACGGGACTTAGCCTTTCACATAAAACAGAACCTCCACAAATAGTCTGTTTTTTATTTGAAAAAGTGCAGAAAGACAGAAAGAGGCAAAATGTGGAAATGACCCCTTCTATGGTGGCAGAAAAAGCCAGTGTTTATGAATGAATATTTATGGACATTCAGATGTGGGGAGGCACTGAAAAAGAGGCAGGTGACTGTCGTTGTTCTCAGTCATTCGTTGCACCTGTTCACTATCCTGCTAGGCTATTTATACTGGAGCATCTGTTTTTGTTTTGTCAGTAAAAGCCATAGCAAGAGTAGGTTGTTGCTGCTACAGGCTGCCAGAACTACAAGCACTCTAGGTAGACAGCATTTTGAGTTTTGTCTAATGCCTTTGTTGTGTTTTCATTATGAATGGGGTTGTGTCCCTCTTAGAAAACAAAATAATGTTTAACAAATGGATTATGTTACAAATATTGCTGCCAATGGTAAGATTTAATACTGATGGGACATTCGGGTACAGAAAATGGATGGATGATGGGTTAAAACATAAAGTCAAATAATAAAATATACACTAAGGAGCCATAACATTAAAATCGCTGATAAGGTGAATTAAATAAAACTGATTATTGTGTTATAATGGCAACTCTGAAGGGTGCCATCATACATTAGCTAAATAAGTGAACAGTCAGTTCTTGAAGCTGATTTATTAGAAGCAGGAAGAATGGGCAAGCGTAAGGATCTGAGCGACTCTGAGAAGGGCCAGATTGTGATGACTAGACAGCTGGGTCAGAGCATCTCCAAAACGGCAGGTCTTATGGGGTGGTCCCAGTATTCAGTGGTCAGTTCCTACCAAAAGTTGTCCAAGGAAGGCCAACCAGTTAACCAGCGATAGGGTTATGGGCACCCAAAGCTCACTGATGAGCCCCATATGCATCAAGCTGCAATGCCACCTATCTATCATAGCCAGAATGAACTTTTTCAACAATTTTTACAACAGTATCTTTTCTGTGGGATCAGACCAGTCAGGCTAGCTTTCGCTATACACATGCATCAATGCATTGCGATGTGCAATACTACTAATAATGAATAATATATAGAATATGCCCATCTTTCCTTCAGAAAATATATGCATGTCCATGCATGCACGTCACCAGTTTCTCCATAGATTTCCACCAATCAGATGGTGGTGACGCAACCAACTCAGTTTAGTCACGGTTTAGGCCCTGCTTGTGTGGTTATATCTTGGGTATGACTCAGGCACAGCTCGCCTCATTTACAATGGAAAACCAATAGTTTGCATTACGGCTTGGGTACGGCTCAGTTCTTGATGGTAATGGAAAAGCACCATTACAGCCATAACTGCTCCTAATGACTTGGTGCTAGAAACCACAGGACACCTTCTGAGGTCTTGTGGAATCTATGGTATTCTGAGCATTCGTTTCAACATCCTAACCTGAACTCGTGCTTCGTTTTCAACCAGGAAGGAATATCATAATAATTGTTTGCTCATACTATTCTCACATTCGGGTATCAAAATATTGCATGTGGTAGCACAATTAAATAAATAATAATATATTTATCTAAGCCCAAAACCCAACACTTAAGTGTTGGTATCTTAAAATTAATTGGTACCTTGTGGTGGACTGCATCCCATCCAGGGTTTTCTCCTGCCTTGTGCCCTATGCTTCTTGGAAAAAGGCTTTAGGTTCACCATAACCCTGTAGCAAATAAGCAACTATGGAAAATGGGTTGGTGCTGACGTGATTATTGACATTACATTATTGTTGACATTGTTGTTGAATTACAATGGAATGAGCAGTGTTTTTTTTTCACTTGGGAACAACACAAACTTTTATCCTTCAAATCAGGCATAAACCAGCCCGAATGTCTGTTTACCACTGCAAAGTAGAGTAAGAGATCCTCAGATTCAAACTTCTGTTTCCTTTAGAAAACAAAGCAATTTGTAGAAATTGCACATGTGAAAAATCATAAACAATGTAGCATCACAGGTGACTGGGAGAGGCAGGAAGAGACATAGAGTGGATGGAAATAATGCTCTTTTATTAGTGTCTTTAAAAAGACACTTGAGTGTTCACACTGTTGTGCTTTTGCTGGCTCAGACTGAGCTCCTCAATCCTTTCACACCTCATTGTTGGACACTTATCATGTAGGTGGCCACTGCATTGGATGATGGGCAGGACGCCGGGTCAGACTTACCCAATCCAATATTTTCTTTGTGTTGTGATATTTACGAATTCAGTATCCAATAATTTGTGTAAAATGTGCAACAAAGGAGCATATTTAGTTCATGGCAAGCCATAAGGAGTTACTGTCACAGTAACAAAACAAAATGATAAACTAAAACCTTAGAACCATGCCTTCAGCATTTCAGTTACTTTTGTATATTTGTCATATTTACATATTTACAACAAACTGTATTTCATCTGGTCTTACATATTGGACTTATTTTTCAGCTTGTTTTCAAGGGTTGCATGTTTGTCTTGTGAGACTAAGCAAAACTTTTACTATCACATCACAGTACTAAACCCATTATGGTTAGCAATCATTCCAGGTTTAGACTGTATAAGACCTACACAATAAAAAAATCAAATACCTGCAAATTCGCTTTTTCCCTTTCTATTCAGCTGTAATCTGTAATGGTTAATAAACATGAGTTGTCGCATCCAGATTTCCTTTAGGGTAAACGGTCTGCCTTTTATTAGGGTAGCTGGTGTAATTTATCCTTTTAAATCTGGACCTTTTGTTTTCAATTTATTCTACATCAAAGAAACAAATGGATGTTTGGTTAATTAGGCCTAAATATATCGTTTGTTTGTAATTGACACATCTGACTGTCGATCTGGATGTCTTTTTTAACTGCCTTGATGAGAGAGAGAGAGAGAGAGAGAGAGAGAGAGAGACATTTGAATGCATTGTGCAGTGTATTTGATACACCGTTTATTTTACCATTAATTTTTTTATTGAAAATGAGAGGTGTGCTGTCAAAGGAAATGTACTGAAAGCCACACCAAAAATATTAAAACCAATCTTTTCATGATTAAGGAAGCCTAATAAGGTAACCAAGAGGTAAGAAACAAATTGGATGATAAATAATTGTTTTGAGGGTATTTCATGGCTGATTTAAGACACGGATCGGCACTGACCCGTCTAACATAAGACATAGGAACAGAAAGCTAACACAATCAGAAGGTTATCATTGAATTCAGCTATTTCATTCAGACCCATTTCCACAGGCGTATAAAATCAAGCACCAAGTGATACAGTCAGGTTTACAAACATTTGCGAATGAATTTCTGAAGTGCTCAGTGAATTCAAGCCTGCAAGCCTCACATCACCAAGTGCAATGCCAAGGGTCAGATGGAGGGGTGTAAAGCTGGGCTCTGGAGCAGTGGAAACGTGTTCTGTGGAGTGATGAATCACACTTCTGTCTGGCAGTCTGATGGACGAGTCTGGGTCTGGCGGATGCCAGGAGAACGTTACCTGCCTGACTGCATTGTGCCAACTGTAAAATTTGGTGAAGGAGGCATAATGACATGGGATTGTTTTTCTGGGGTTGGGATAGGTCCTTAGTTCCAGTCAAAGAAACTCTTAATGCTTCAGCATTTCAAGACATATGCTGTCAATTTTATGCTTCCAAACTTTGTGGGAGCAGTTTGGGGAAGAGCCCTTTACTGTTCTAGCATGATTGTGTCCCAGAGCACAGAGCAAGGTCCATAAAGACATGGTTGGGTGAGTTTGGTGTGGAAGAACTTGACTGGCCCACACAGAGGCCTGACCTCAATCCCATCGATCACCTTTGGGATGAACTAGACGAGCCAGGCCTTCACATCTAACATCAGTGCCTGAACTCACTAATGCTCTTCTGGATGAATGGGCAAAATTTCCCACAGACACACTCCAAAATCTTGTGGAAAGCCTTCCCAGAAGAGTGGCAGCTGTTATTGCTGCAGAGGGGGGATAAAATCCATATCGGTGCCTATGGATTTAGAATGGGATGTCATAAAAATACCTGTAGGTGTAATGGCCAGGTCTCCGAATACTTTTGTCCATATAATGTATATTTAAAATGGGTGCCAAGGGCGCCATGTAGAATAAACAAATCTCCTTACAGTCACACCCCCTCCACGTGCTGGTGTTCTATTGGCTGAAACAAAGGATTTTGCTCATGGCAAGGGAAAAAAAAATGCTTTGAATTACACGAATGCCAGTGAAAGATGCGAACTAATACATTAATTTAGGGAGGTTTCATTTAAGTAAATAATTTAAATAAGCTATATTCGTATAAGAGGCGAACTTCCAGCTACTTATCAGCACAGCCATCATAACATCCCGCACCAAATTTTAAAAGGTCTCTCATGGAGTCATGTGACCGCACCCAGACGGTCATGTGACCGCAAAGCGAAAGCAGCGGAAGGCGCTCGTGCACGAGACAGGCGTGTGATAATGTCGGGAATAGACGAAGAGCTGCGGCTCGTCTTGGGGACCGACTTGCCCGAAGTCCAGGAGGTAACTTAATGCCATACTGTACATTACCGCTCACCATTCTTAAAACCTCCAAAACTATCTACAACTGGAAACCCAACTTTTGGTTTTAAGTTAAGCTGGCACTGTCATTAAGTATGAACTCCAATCTAATGCTACTTCATGACAGTTTAGCGTTGAGCGCAATTAATGGACACCATTTAGGTATTGCTGAAATAGTGCCCAAACGTAAGCTAAAAGCATTATCTGAAAATAAAGAGAAGCGGGAAATCCAACTTCGCATGTAATATAGGAGAAGTGGAAAACGAAAGACATTTGCCGGATGTTTCCGCATAAAAAGTACACCATAAACAACTTAAGTGTAATTTCTAGAAAAACTACTCAGCGTTTAAGTGCTAGAATTGATATACATCACCCATATTTCACGAAGTATTTATATGTGTCATATTTATGAAAGGCCCATACGTCTGTATGTATTTGTGAGAAAAATGGCATAATCACCAATTGTGCCAGATGATTCTATATCATTATCAGGCACCACTCAGTTATTTTATTACTAATTACTGACCAGTTGTTTCCCAAAACATTACCAAGAGTGAGATATATGCAAGTTAAAACATTCTGGTGCAGCTCCCAGAATTTGCATTCTATGTAAATTGAGCAATCACTTTTTCCTTTTTGGGAACTTCTAATTCCTGCATAATTGTTATTTTGTATAGATGTAAGGTGCTTATTTTTGTATTGCGATTAATGAATGACAAGTTTATCTTAATGTAATTCTTTATTTGCATAATTAAGGAATCCTGTGTCTTGTGATCAGGGTAAGCATGATGTTTACATGCTGTTCAAAAACCTACATAAAAAGTGAGAAACTGAAATAAGCAGTCGACAATTTTATTACGGTCTACGTCTTCCTTGGGTATGGGTCATTTAAGTTGTGTGTTTTCATACAGTGCATTGTTCTCATCTAAGTGCCCGTTACAAACACAAAGTCTCAGTCATTATGTTTCAGTGCATCACACGCTTAGGACCTGGTTTGAAATTTCTGTTTCTTTCAGCTGGATGACCAGGAGTTTCAGATCCCACAAGTGGAGAATGTCCCTACCCTTGAGAGCATCTTGGATGAGGTACATTGAGCATTTTCACCAGTATAATGAAATGCACCAGACCTCCTTATGTTTTCTAATTGTGTCACTGCAGCATCACTTGGCTGTACAAAAATGAATGACGCTAAGATACAAATGATTACAGTAGTGCTGGTTTACTTTACACCAGTGTTTCTCAACCCAGTCCTCGGCACATTTTTGCTCCCTCTCATCTCCCAGTGTACCTGAACCAAACAATCAAGAGTGCCAGATACCTGGTGCAGGTGTGCTGAGGGGGAGCAGAAATGTGAACTACCTCAGTGTCCCCAAGGGTTGGGTTGAGAAACACTCGTTTACTCCATTCAAATAGGCTCATGTTTGTTCAGTGGTTAGAAGGTGCTCATAATTTACAGATATTTAATTTGCTAACAGTATTAGCCTGAGGGCAGGAGTGTTGCCTCACAAATTCAGGATGGCAGGGGTTTGAATCCTCCCATTCCTTGGTGTTCCCTTTCTCTGTTTGCCTGTTCTCTCCGTGTTACACAGGTTTCCCCTAGGGACTGCATTTCTACTAACCAAAGACATGCAGTTAGCTGAAATGGCATTCCTAAAGTGTTTGCATGTGCTTAGAATGGAATCATGTCCAGGGTTTTCCCGAGCCGTTCACTTTATGCTACTCCAGGCCCCGAGTGATCCTGCGCTAGGTTAGCGGCTGGGGGATGGATTTATGATTAGGCTGAACGTCAGAGCCAACATACCATCTCCAAAGTGGCACAGACATGCTGGCTAATTTAGGCTCTAGAGGTCATTTTGATGTACTCCTTAACTTTAGACAGATGGCAGTTATCCAAACAGACCTGCATGCATTCTTGAATATTTCTTTAAATCAGCATTTCCCAGTCACATTAAGAGCTGAGTCGTTAGGCTGCCTTGAGATGTGTGTGTGTGTGTGTGTGTGTGTGTGGTGTGTGTGTGTGTGTGTGTGTGTGTGTGTGTGTGTANGTGTGTGTGTGTGTGTGTGTGTGTGTGTGTGTGTATGCACGCACGCATGTGTGCTCATGCACATTGTTGTAGTTGTTAGATTATGGGGGCCTGAAAGTGATTACAAACCTGTAATGTTTTATCTTGTGGGGAAATTTTTTCTCTCCCCACTAGGATAAACCTCAATTTTATAAAAATCAAAAAACTAAAAAAGCCAAAAGTCTTCTGTTTTGTTCTTTGGTTAAGGTGAGGGTAGGGGTTAAGGTTATAGTTGGGAGGAGGGTTATGCCTATAAAAATGAATGGAGAGTCCCCATAAAAATATGAATACATATACTGTGCATGTCCATGTGCTTGTAAAGGCAGTATCATTACTAAGAGTCTGCTCTGCTCAGATTTCACCAACAGCCATATTACACCCATCTGGCTTTAACCTTAGATATATTTTTCCATCTGATGTAGACTAAAACCTTGTTTCCCGTTTTTACCCGCTCATCTGTATGAGAAAACAGGAACAAAAGTGGTTATTTTGGTGCCGCATAATCACATTGATTATTGGTATATTACAATGAAAGTTACACATTTTCATGTCAATTTCATTTATTGTTCTTGATCTAATGGAACTCCATTCACTTACTTGTTTGTTTCCTTGACCTGTGGAACTTACTCTACTCAAGATAACATGATTAAACTGTGTGTGTGTGTCTGTGTTTGCACATGGCTATGGAGACATCACAAACATCTATCTCAAATCGCCCCTATGCCAGAATGCTGTCCTGGATGACGAGGCTAGCTTCTTACTGCCTGTTGACTTCACCATCCCCACACTGGATCCAGAGGAGTTGGATGCAGAGACAAAAGCTGCAGCGAAGCAGGAAAGTGATGAGGAACTTCGGGAGGAAGAGCATGGACTGATGCCCCCTTCACATTCTCAATGGTATAGGGCCGTCTCCGTCACGAGGCTTTAAGGTGTTTTTAGGGTCTTGTTTCCTAATGGTCAATCCTCATTCATTTCAAATTAGGATCAGAGATCCTTTGCTTCCAGTGGTTTCCCAGGATCCCGTGCTACAGATCAACACCCTGAGAGGCATCTCTGCCCAAATCGTCTCTGCTGTGGTGAGATCCCGTTGACCAGCTACACTTATGCTCCAAATAAGATTAATGCAGTAGTGCTGTGTAAAAGAAAACATAAATTATGTGCATCTGGATAGATTTCAGTGATAACTTGAAAAAGGAATATTTGAAGCTTGTACAGGTGCAGGTTAATTCTGATATGAGGGGTCTGTCTTGAGTAAATCCTTGGCCTCCTTGGCCTTATGAACAGATGCGTCCTTGTCTTCATTATGGAGCTGTAGACAAAGGAAGCATCCATAAAGAGTAATGTGTTAGTAAGACCTTACCTAGAACATGCAGTAAAGCATTGGCCAGCTCACCTAGCTTACCTAGAACATGAGGTAAAGCATTAGCAAGCTCACCTAACTTACCTACTGTAGAACATGCAGTAAAGCATTGGCCAGCTCACCTAGCTTACCTAGAACATGAGGTAAAGCATTAGCAAGCTCACCTAACTTACCTTGAACATGAGGTAAAGCATTGGCCAGGGAACTTACCGGGAACATGTACAGTATTGTTGATTCACCTAAAATAAAATGTTATTGTGCTGAAGAGTTGAATAGAGAGCCAGACAAGGATAGCACACAAGTACAAAAGGCACCAGGTTTGGACATAATCATAAAGTATGATTGAAAAGAAACCATCTGTGGACAAGCTGGAAATATTTACCTGCTGAGATGTTTTACGTTAGATAATGAAGTAATTATATATGTTCATCGCATGAACATGGACGGCATTCACTAAGAGGCCCGCTTTACTTTGCTCTAATTTCTAGGGCCGTTTTGATGACGGAGGGGCTTCTGCCTTGGTAAGGGCCGTCAGTGCCACAGAACGTACTCTATTCCATTTTTGATTTCTTGCATGTCACTAACACTATTTTGTCTCCCATTCATCTCATTTAAAGTCCATCATGAGTCATTCTATTTTAATTGCAAAAATTTTCAAAAAAAGTTTTTGCATCAGCATTTTTGATTTTGGTGGAATTTCACATGGGAATTATTCATACCTTACAAACCTCAGAAATGTTTTCATTTTTAAATTTCCCTTCGAGATATAGTCCCTTTTCTGTACCCCGAGTAGCAAAAAAAAAAAAAAAGAAATAATAATAATAATTTTATTCAGTTTTCAGAGCTGTAACTTTTTTATCGTTAGTGTTGTGTCAGAATGTCTCTGTGTTTCCGATCACCAAACAAATTTAGTATAACACAAAGGACAACTTGAGTAAGCAGACAATTTTTAAAAGACCATTTGATTCACTGCAGGAAAAAAAATCCACCAACACTCATATCACCTATGTGACAAAGTAATTGCCCCCGTAAACTTAATACTTGGTTGTGCAACCTTTAGCAGCAACAATCAAAAACTTGCGGTTTCAGTGCAACACAAGAAAAAAAACAGATTGTTGCTCTGCTGGTTTCCTCTGTGTAGCTGGCACTCTGTCACCCTTGGGTTACAGTACGCCTCACTTTTCTGGGCAAGATAAGCACTTTAGTTTGACACTAATTTTGTACTGGCATAAAAATTTGCCCTTTAAATGTTTTCAATGAAGTCTTCTCCCTCTCTCTCTCTCTCACACACACACACTGTTTGTCCCTACAATGTAATGTAGACCTGTGCCACACACACATATTTGAATTAGTTTTACTTTTAAAATTGATTTATATTGTGTAGGTGGCTTCACTGTTATTTATGTTGTCTATTGTAGGCTGTCTGTGGGATTATCGCCGTGGGAACCACGACGGGACAGTTGCTGATTTTTGGTAACAGCTGCATCTTCCTGGTCGCCTAGCAGCACAAAGCTGGTTCTAAACAGTAACTCATTTTGGGGGTTATGACTGGAAATGCTGTATGTAACCCAAGGCAGAGCAGATATGTTTGCCACACACTTTTAACATTACCACACATGAATTGATAATCAGAATTGTAGAACAGTACAGAGGCAAGGAGTGAAACGGAGGCTGTGTGGCTCAGCAGGTTAGGACACTGTGCCTTTGATAGGAAGGTCACTGGTTCAAACCCCATGTTCAATGGAGCGATTTCACTGTTGGGGCCCTGAACGAGGCCCTTAACCCATATTGCTCCACAGACTGTCTGACCCTACTTTCAACTACATGTCAATTTGGATATAAAGCATCTGCTAAATAAATACATGTAAATGTAAAATGTTTAATGCAGGCAGTTTATACCTGTATATTTCAGTTTATTACCTTATCCATGCCTATGGACTCAAAAATAATTGAGGTTTGTGTGTGCATTAGATTCACAATTTAATTACTTGCTCTGATGTTAAAACTAGAATAATAATTGAGTGATGGTCCCTTGGCATCAGAGTGGGTTGCTGATACAGCACCTCAGGCTTAGGGCTCCTCTTCCCACCTGCCTTCAGATGCCAGTCAGGTGCTGAAGCTGTGCTTGGGGAGCCCGGCTCTCGGGGCGAAGCATGGAGGTGTATCAGCCCTGGGCTTTAACTCCGACAGCACCTGCATCCTCTGTGGATTTACCAAAGGACAGGTAACCCGTGTGCCTCCTCGGATCGACCAGACAGCATCCAGTAAGTTAGATAGTTATGGTCAGTTTGGAAATGCAGTCTGGTGCTCGGGGTCCCGCAGCCGGTGCACGTTTTTGCTCCCTGTCAGACAGTCCACATGTTTGCTGCAAGAATGTGAACTGTCTGTGGGTCCCCAAGGACTGTTCTGCTGCTCTACAATACCATTTCTCCACCAGTGGGGTACAACCCAAAAGGGTGGTGGTGATGTCATGGGTTGCGGTAAAAAAAACCCAAAATGTTCTATATACTCGTACTGCAGTATTTTTTGTAATTAAATTTGTTCCCAAATTTTTTTAATTTGTGTCATTACGTAATGACCAAGTACAGGTTTTCTGTAGAGTAGATGTCTATTCAGGTGTTTAGTATGTGATGTCAGGTCACATGAACCCCAACACGTCACTCAGAGTCTTGCACTAATAAATTAAGATTCTTCAATGGGACGTGGAGTCCGGAAAACTGCTGCGGAGCATCTCCAGTGTGGTTCCAGCGGGGAACGCAGTCCTTGCTGTCAAGGTGGGTCCTCCATTGCCACTTAAAAAGTTTTTTTTCTTGCTATAACAACAGCACTGCTTTGCAACAGCTGTTGATGCATGTTAGCAGGACAGTATCTTAGCGGACAGACATAGGCTCTTCCCATTGTTTCACAATGTTTATGAAGTCTAGCTTCACTTACGGAATCACTGGAGTTAAAATAGCTACCAGGGCTTTTCTGACTATTTCTGAATGGCCTGGCTCTGACACTGTGGTTGCATGGCTGTTAGCACGTAACCAAGCTGTTCCGCCCTGTGTCCAGTTCACCAGTGACCCCACCGTGGCCGTGTGCAGTGACAGTGCAGGCTCTGTGTTTGAGCTTCATTTCAAGTAGGTCCTTTTGTTTAGGGGTGGGGGGTGGGATGCATGTTGTTCAGTGCACCGTCTTCTATAGACTGCTTCTAGCGTGGGATTGCATGCATACTTGTATGTTCATCTGCGTTTGTCATTGCGAACGATTGGGATCCTGGCCATGGTGCCCCCCCTCTGCCCTTTGCGTGCCCCCCCCCCCAATGATGGATGGATAAAAATTGGTCAACTCGCTGTTTTAGGTATTTTTGGGGCAGAGTGTAGCGATTTTTAGCTACATTCTGTCCACAAGTGGGGAAAAAAAAGAGTAAGAGTTTAGTTGTCATTCCTCTCCATCAACAATACATTCTCAGTTACACTCCGACACACACATGGACCATCCGGTTAACAGTGATAAAAACGAAAGTTGCAAACTGAGTGCATAAAATAAAGTGCTATACATAATTTATTTGTACACCATAAATACGGAAAAAAATCAGTTGCTAGCGATGATAATTCGGTTTCACCGAAACTGATCTAGAAACTCGGTCCAGTTCCTATGAGCACGATGTCTCTGGATATACTGCTGCGCTGATGCTGCTGATTCTTTATCAGAGCACTTTGTCAGAATGGCTTCAATAGACAAAATGCGGAGCTGATTATGTAGCGCCCTCTGCAGGCGGTCCTTGGGAGCGCGGACGTGGGATTCCCGCTGCTTGTTCAGCCATGAGAAGGGGACGGTGCGCTGCATCTCGCCACTGTGCCTGCGAGGTGATTTCAGCGCGCACCCTGCCGCACAGTGCCTCCTGCTGGCCATGGTGTCGCTCCGGAAGGTGGGGATGATCCTCCATCACACTATCTTCCAACCTTTTTGCGCAATTTCTGGGGTCACTGACTTTTTGCTGCCTTGTTTGCTCCAGCTTTTGATTGTCAGACAGAAGCCGGAGCTGAGTGTGATCCATGCATCTAAGGTAATGTCCAAAACACTCTCTGTGTGTCTCCCTCTTCTTTTCAGCTGTATTTTTAACTATGGAGTAGTAATAACCCTAAATTAACTGCTTTTTTTAACTTTACATGCCAAGATAAGGTAGCAATGGTCATATTTATTGATTAACCGATGACCTACACAACACACACACCACTCCATTTAATTATTTAGCCATTTTTAATATTCCACCTGCACTTTATCTGCACATTTATACTGTGGGCCCATTGCACGACTCCAGAATTACTGGCAATCCTTATGAAGATGAGTTAAACACTAATTTCGGTTTTGCAAATAGCCTGCCTCTGAAACGCAATACAACCGTGTCGTGAAAACTGTGTGAGTTTCTGCAAACTTAAATAATAATAATAAAAATAATAAGAGCAATTTATGTAAGGGGTTTTTCTACAAATTTTGAGGGAAATTTTTATTCTTATACGCATTGTTTATAAACCTCTTTGGGGTTGCCAATAATTCTGGGGTTGATTGTACTTGTTTACTCATTTTTTGTATTGCACTGCTTTATCTCACACTGACTTTCTTTGTAATCCTCCACTGTCTTGTCTTCTGTCGCACTGCTGCATCCTGATGCTGTTAATACCTGCAACTGTAGCAGAGGAATTTCACTCTGCTCCTCAGAGCATGTGATAATACTTGAAACTTGATAGCTTTGAAACTTCTAATCGTGAGCTTGCTCAGAAGGCTTAGTTTCCTGAAGAAAAGCACCATTCAGTGCGCCGTTAGGTGGTTCCCTTGCCTTTCGCTTCCCTGCTGTCTGATTGACTGACCCGATTCTTCATAGGCCCATGCTGACCGCGTCCCCAGCCTCTCCTGGCGTCTCCTGACTTTCAGAGACTCTGCGGACCCAGTGCTGGCTTTCTGCCAAGGTTGCTCTTTCTCTCTCTATCAGGTGAAACTTGGCAACTCTGATGTCGTGGCCGTTGGTGTAATGATTATGAGACTGATTTATAACTGTTAAGGATCGTAATTCAATTCAACCGAACATGTGAAATTGTTATATGCAGTGCAGGAAGCTATTAAGTAATGTCACAGAGATGTTTATTTGATTATGTTTTTCCTTTTGAAACTCAGGTCAGATTTGCTGACGAAGACCTGAAAGTGATCAAAATGATAGATTACAGTGTTCCGTTTGAAATTCTCAACTTTAAGGTGAGTGTTGGCCTGAGGGATGCTGACCTGATTGTGTGAATGAGGTTGAACGAGGTGTGGATTCCTTCTCCCAGTGGCTGAGCTCCAGCACTTTGCTGATCCTGGATACTGCCGAGAAGCTCCATGCCTTGGACAGGGAAACTGGGATGGCGCTCCAGGAGCTGCAGCTGGAGAACCTGCAGCTGGTCAGCACCTCCACAAAGCCCACAGGAGACCAGGTCAGGGTGGGAGACATTACTGGAAAACTGGCATAATTTGTATGATGCCAACAATACAGATGTTGAAATCCAACGATCTGTATTATTTTGTTGCATTTCCCAGTGTACAGATTCTCAGCAGGAAAGTACAGAGGCAATTTACCGTTGATTTCACATAATTATTTTTACTAAAACTAATACTGTAAGTCAGCAGAACAGAACATCTACACCTGCTTTTTTTGATGCTCTCTGGAGATGCATACAAGGATGCCGCCTTGCCTCTTGTTTTCTGACTTTTGTCAAATAGCTGTATGAGTTTTATTTATGAATAATTTTCTTATTTTCAGGCACAGCAAAAGCGTATAACGTACCAGTCAGTGTGCGCTCACAGTGGAAAAGTTCTCTTTCTGGGAGATAAGGTGATCTCAAAAGCCCTTTATTCTGGTGTAAACATGATATGAGGGAGGTTTTTTTTTTTCTTTTCTGACAAAAGCTGCCATTTTACTGGTTATTTCACCACCATTGTAAATTAAATCATGTTACACTCAGCCCCATAACACTTTTACAAACCCTCAGTGCATCATTCATGGAAAAAAGAGCAGAATAAAGCAGCAGGCAGAATTAGGGTTAACCCTGACTGTACTATAGATGCTTAGAATTTTGTGGATTCTGGGTGTGTAACAAGAATCACAGAGATGCGGATTATATCACTGTACAGTGAACTATATTTGTAAAATCTCACATTTTAATGTATAGTGTAAATTTGTTAATGGATTCCATATCTAATACATGCCTACACTATTTGGGGGGAACACAATCATTGAATTAAAATCGCAATTTAAAGTATCTCAAATTCTGACAATCAGCAGGGTGAATCATAGCTTCTGTTTCAGCGCTCAGACCAAAATTAGTGTCCATACAGTAATAAGTGACTTCATGTTCCTTTACTATAAAAAATACATATGAACCTATTGATCCCACTGCGAAATTCATCCATACAGTATGCAGTGCTCACAGAAATTCTTGGGACGCTTGCTTAAGTTAGTGAAACTGCAGCAAATGTATTGGTTTCATTACAAAGGTCCTTTGACAAGCAGTGTTTAATATCTGCACACACCTTCCACACAGACATTTTATTAAGTTGTCCTGATTTTTAGACTGACTCGTTTAGTTCTTTACTTGCTGTTTTGCTGCTAATTGCAGTTGTAGCCATTGACTTCCAAAGGACAGTTAACACAAATGTTTGGTGTCATTGCAGGGTTGTTACAAATTAAAAAGCCCCAAGTGAAACTGCTTATCAATGAACTCTTTAACTCGGAACAGCTCTGTTAGAACTGTAATTTGGGTTTCAATGTGTTACTATACTTGAAATTAATGTTTTTCACTTATTAACTACTAGTTCTTTCTAATGTGATATATATTTTTGTAAATGAATAAAGTAATGATTTTTATGAAACCACTAAATTTAAAATATTTTTTACAAGACTTTCCGTGAACACTATATTAACATTAAGCTGATTAGGTTGTGCACCTAAAACACCATTACAACCAATTAGATAATATAAATGTCATTGATGAGTGATTGAACGAGTCTGCAGTTTTTGACCTTTGAGGTCCCTGCGTGTGAATGTTCCGAAGAGTTTCTTCTACTTTTACCAATCTCTCTGGTACATTAATAGTAAGTTATTAGCGAATTGAAGAGAGACATAAAGTACAGCTTTCTACATCTGGTTGGTTTCATCTTTAATTTCTGATGTAGTTTTGCCCACTTGTAGCCTGATTTCAGCTTTTATCGTCAATAGGCAGCGCAGGTGGTGTCTTTGAAAACATGGGAAGAGGTAAGAGTTTCCGATTCGGCAACAGTTAAGTGTAGGTCTGTTAAGCGTGTGCTTACCTATCAGGCTACCCTTGTCCTCTCTCTTTCTTTAGAGATTGGATGATCTTGTGAGGCAGGACCGACACGGTGATTCTTTGGCTCTTGCCTGGAAGTTTTACGAAGGAAGTGCCAAGGCAGTAGTGGGTAAGTTACAAAACACTGGGTCAGCGTTGGCCTTGTTAATTAGTAAGCTGCTGTTTACACTGCCTGTTTTCATGTACAGAATGCTCAGGTCTAAGCTGGGAAATGACTACATTTAAAACAGGTCTTCCATTATGGAATTTAATTACCAATTTAGCAGAACTGTTGGTAAATATGTAACTAGCAGAAGAGAACATTTATTCAGTGTTTTATTCAGCAAAGGGAGATTGACCAGCCGTGATTTTTGGTCTGAAGGCACAATACATGCCCAACATCAGAGCATTCCTCAGATAAAAAATCATTTACAGACACAAAACTGTAGTCTTAGTTAACTTTCTTCAGTTGTAATTAAAACTCTACTGTGCAAATGTCTTAGATAGTAAAACGAAATGTTGTTTAAAGGATCTTCATGATGATGTAAAACTATGATGTCTCTCAAAGTGTGTCAACTTAGCCATTTCAAAACCTCTCCTAATGTCACCCCGGTATTTGCAGCAACCATACAATACAACACTGTATTTTTTGACTTGACCACTGCCCCACCTTAAATGGCTAATCAACACTTAATTAATTGAGTGGGTGGTGAAATTTTAACAAATACATAGAATGGCTGTGGTGCATCTGAGGAGAGGTTTGGGAACCAAAGCGGTGTTGACATAATGATTTACTGATAGTATTTTAGAAATGAATTATTCTGTCCTTTTTAAGGTCTGCCTGCAGAAACGAAACTGAAGGAGGAGGTAGTAGCATGTAAGGTAATTGTGTGTCTACCTCCCCATTTTGCTTGTTCTGGCTTTTTGTGTGATAATTATTCATCCTTTACTACATTTTGGCCTGTTCGCAATTATAGTTAGATAATATTGCCTGCTGGGGATGTGTATCGATGTGTATCTCCCTCAGGTGGGAAAGATACTGTTGAATTATGTGGAGTTCTTGCTGAGAAGATGTCCTGATCAAGGGAAGATACAGGTCATGGAGGGACACTTCCAGGTGCATTATGGGAATATTGTTTGGGAGTTCATCTTGTTTTTCTTTATGTCTGAATGTAATGCAGGATAGTCTAGAATTTGTGTTGCATAACATATTTTTCTAGATTTAAAACATAATGCAAAATGTTGGCTGCACAAATAATTATGGCGTCACATTCATGTCAAAAGTCACGAGCGCCATAAAACATACTCACAAATAAATTGTTATAATACACACGTGCATGTGTTAACTGCCCACTTGCAAGATATAAAGAAATGTTGCTTGTGTGATGTGACCTGTGCTCTCGAAGGTGAATTCTGCTCGCGCAAATCAACCTGACGTTTCACAGTTTGGGGGTGGAAACAATTCACACTCCTATGATTGGTCATACCGTTTCATCTCTAGTTCCAACCAAATTTCACAATAAGCAAATTGCTGTGTTGTGTGACAAAGCCATCTATCAGTATCACTTACATGTAAATCTTCAAGTGTCCCAGCCATTGTTCTGTCCACTGTGTTTTCAACTTCGGACTTCTTGTCAGGACTCAGATGTTTGAATTAACAAGCCTCTGGCAAAACCTTTTTTTCTTCTTTTGTTTTTGATTGTTGGAAAATTAATATTTGGTGCACTACCGTCATCTTCTGAAAGGGAGCGCAGAACAGGATGACCTCTGGCCAAACTGTATGCCTGTTCAGTTTAGGGAAGCTGTCAATCTAGGGACAAGGAGGTCCTTGTGGGTGTAATCGCATTGAAAGTGACCGATCATAGGAGGGCCAGGGTCTCCCTTGATTTCCGCCCCCAAATTCTCCAAAAGTCAGGTTAATTTGCGCAAGCAGAACTCTGCTTCGAGAGCACCGTTCACCTCGTGCAGGTGACATTTCTCACCCAGAGCTGCCTATACTGCTCTCAAATGCTGAATTTGTGCGCAAAGGACTTTCTTGCAAGTGAGCAGTTAATACCTGCATGAATTACATAATATTATTTACTCATGAGTATGTTTTATCGTGCCCTCGACTTTTGACATAAATGCAATGCCATAAATAATAATTAAGGTATAGACTTATAATAACTATTATTTAGTTTGTCTTATTTTGTGATGGACTGGCATTCCAACTAGGTTGTGCCCTGCCTCGGGGCCCATGCTTCTTATGAAGTGTTTACTCTGGCACTACACAGGATGAATGAACAACAAATCTAAAGAATGAATTAATGATTTTTACTATTGAAAAGAGACACAGCCAACACAGTAATTTTGTTATGTTTAAAATAAAAAATGTCCTAGGTGATCAGCTATGCTTAAACCTTTGCCTTTTATTTACATTCAGTACCAATTGCTTGTACAAAATCTTAAAAAAGTCTCACCTTAATGTAAAAACAGGACTTTATGTTTTGTACATTGCTTTATTTTACTTCAGAAAACACTTCCACTCTGTGTCACCTGCTGCATCAAGTTCAATAAAACGTGAGTATTCACTCTGAAATGACAAAGTACTCGCCAAGATTAAATATAATTGATAGTCAGGATTCCTGCCAGTGTAAAATAAACAGGTGCAGTATTAGTTAAATATTTAAGCAGGTCCACATCCCTTTTTATTAGTTATTTTTACACGTCAAGCTGTGTTTTATCTTCATAAATATATTTTCCATTCTCATAATAAAGTACATATTTCCTGACTGTGAGTGACAGGGGTGGGGCTACAGAGGCATTGGCCCCAGCTGAAAGCTCATTGGTCCCTGGGGTGTCCCTGCCCTTGTCACTCAATGATACAAAAAATACCATTGGCTAATGGTAAGGTTGTCCCCTCTGTATGAATTATGGACCTACTTATGCCCCCACCTTAAAAATCCTCGAATCGCCGCTGCTGTGAACTCCAAGCCTTGGGTATATTTTCTGCCTCCTTTCGCCTTACTGCGGCCTGCCTCAGGGAGGTGCTGTTCCGCGAGCTGTATGAGAAGCTGATGGACCACGTGGTGGCGCTCGGGGTGCTGTTCCAGTGTCTGGAGCCCCACATCATTTCTGGCAAGCTGAGCAGCATCCCAGCCCTTGTCATGAAGGACATGGTTGCACACTACAAAGACCATGGCATGACCGAGCTGCTGGACACGCTTATCCCTCACCTGGATGTCAGGACCCTCGACCTCCATCAGGTGAATATAGTAGACGAGTTGTGGTGGTCTAGGGTGAAGGACCCCTCCACAACTCAACCTTAACTCATACCACACCCTTTAGGACCTCAGTTGCCACAACACAGATGAGACCCACACAGCAGTTTGCTGAACTTTATTTGGGGAATTACAACTCATTTGTGGACTCTCACCTCTCACAAACTCCCCCCCCCCCCTCCCCCCCCAGAGACAACTTCCCACCCACTAGGCATGAAAAAGCAAAAACATGCGTCTTTAGTTTCAACCGCACACAGGTACACTTTACCACAACAAGTTCCTCCCCAGCAACAAGTAAACACCCCACTCGGCACTGCAAACCCACTCGGCACTGCAAAGCCACTCAACACTAGGTGACCTTAAGGCACTAGCAGGAAGGTATCTCCCCTTAGGGGGAGTAATCAGGTGAGCCTGTGCCCCACAAAGGATAAATATTAAAAAAAAAACATTAAATAAGGAGAAAAATCAGTTCTGGGCCACAGCTACCCTGCGTGGCTCCCAAAAATAATACATCAGAATAAACGAGTGCTGCCAAACAACACGGGCGGCCATCTTAAATACTCCAAGGCCCGCCTCTTCTCCTATCCATCACCTTGCCTCAGCCAATCACGACCAGGAGCACGCTGCAAGGTCCCACATTGCTATCCACGACACTGCCTGGGTAAAAACCAAAAAGCGCACACCACCCAAAAAAAAAACAAAATAACATAAATCCCCCCCTATTGTCGTGAGGACATGACAGAGTCACTGTCTTTTATGCCACCTTGTGTCACACACGGGTGCAGGGAGAATTTGCCAGAGGTGTAAAGAGTACCCGAAAACCATACTTGAGTAAGAGTACAGATACCTTACTGTATAAATTACTCCATTACAAGTTACAAGTCACCAATTCCAATAAGACTTGAGTAAAAGTCGTAAAGTATCCAATTTTAAAAGAACTTAAGTATTTTACTCGTACTGAATGTAGGCTCAAAGAACACCAAGAAATGTGG